AGTGCCAACTGTTTCCCCCCCCCTACCCACACACACACACACACCAATGTGCGAGTATGAGGAGGCAGGGTGTGTGTGTGTACAGAGACCCATACATTCTCCCTCCCCCCTCCCCTCTCCTCCTCCCCCCCCTTCCCCCCTCCCTCCCCTCCCCCTGTCTCCTCTGCTGTGGTAGTTTCTACATGCTGCGGCAATCGACCCCGACCCCTCCCCCTCCTCTCGTCACCCGTCCTCCCCTCCATCCTATCTCACACATATTCCCCATTCCCCTTACCCCCTCCCCCCCCTCCTTCTTTCTTGGTTATGGTGGTGGTGTAGACATTGCGGCTAACCCGGTTCCGGGCTCGGTGGAGACTGGCCCGTCTGGTCCCGAGGACGAGGAGTACCGCATGGAGATGGAGGAGAAGATCATCAACGATGAGTACAAGGTATGGACGAGGATGAGGACGGGGTAGGGGGAGGGGGTGGGGGGGGGGGTGGGGATGGAATGGCTGGGGAGGGCTGGTGAGGGGACTCATGATCGGCGAACCTGGGGTGGGGGGCTGTGGGGCTGGCGCTGTGTACAGATCTGGAAGAAGAACACGCCGTTCCTGTACGACTGCTGCCTGACGACAGCGCTCGAGTGGCCGTCGCTGACGGCGCAGTGGTTCCCGGATAAGGCCGTTGCGTCGGGTGCGGATCATTCGACACAGCGGCTGCTGATGGGAACGCACACGTACGGCGGAGCGCCCAACTACCTGCTCATTGCCGAAGTCGCGCTGCCGACTGACTCTGCCGAGGTGGAGGCGTCCAAGTACGAAGAGGGCGGCGAGGTCGGCGGGTTTGGGGCCGGACAGGCGCGAGTCTCGATTGTGCACCGGATCAACCACGACGGCGAGGTGAACCGGGCGCGGTACATGCCGCAGAACGCGTTCCTGGTGGCGACCAAGACGACGGCTGGCGAGGTGCACATCTTTGACACGACCAAGCACCCGTCGACGCCGGACCCGTCGGGAGTGTCTGTGCCGGAGCTGCGGTTGACGGGCCACCAGAAGGAGGGCTACGGGCTGTCGTGGAACACCTTTTACCAGGGCCACCTCATCTCGGGTGCGTACGATTCGCTCATTTGCCTATGGGACCTCGAGGGCGCGCTCGAGTCGTCGAACATGCTCCAGCCGACGCGGACGTACTCGGGCCACACGTCGGTGGTGGAGGACGTGGCGTGGCACACCTCGCACGAGTGTGTGTTTGGCTCTGTCGGCGACGACAAGAAGCTCAACCTGTGGGACACGCGCGAGGCCGAGACGTCCAAGCCGTTCCAATCGATCCAGGCACACGACGCCGAGGTCAACGCCATTGCCTTCAACCCGTTCTCGGCCTTTATCCTCGCCACCGGCTCGGCTGACAAGACCGTCGCGCTGTGGGACATGCGCAACCTCTCGCAGAAGCTGCACTCGCTCGAGGCGCACACCGACGAGGTCATCTCGGCCTCGTTCTCGCCGCACAATGAGACCATCCTTGCCACCTCGTCGGCCGACCGTCGCTCGCTTGTCTGGGACCTCTCGCGCATCGGCCAGGAGCAGACGGCCGAGGACGCCGAGGACGGCCCGCCCGAGCTGCTCTTTGTCCACGGCGGGCACACCGCCAAAATCTCCGACTTTTCGTGGAACCTTAACGAGCCGTGGCTCGCGGCCTCGGTCGCCGAGGACAACGTGCTGCAGGTCTGGTCCATGGCCGAGAACATTTACAACGACGTCGAGCCCGCTGACGTGCCGCCCGAGAGCCTCGAGTAAACTCCTCGGCTAGTCCATGGTAAAGCTGACGATGACCAGGCCGACGAGCGGGAGTGTGAAGACGCCCACCAGAGCGAGCAGGATGGTGAGCACAATCTTGATGCGGTAGCGGTAGCCGTCGAGTGAGGCCCACTCGAGGTAGATGGCGTCGTCGATGGAGGTTTCCATCGAGTACGCCGAGGAAAAGGCCGGGAGCGAGACGGCGTGCGCCGCAGCCTTGCGGCACTCGGCGAGGAAGGTCTTGGAGGTGACCCGGACGGCGGTGTGGACGTTGGGGTCGTACCAGGTCTCGTCGTGCCGGCCACGGGTGACATCAGTGCGCGGGAAGCGGCGGCAGCCGGTCTGCGACGGGCAAGCGCAGGCAAAGATGGCCACTGCCGAGCCGCCCGGGGCGGTGATGGGCGTTACCTTGGCATTGGTGGACGTGTTGGAGGTACCAACGACCTCTGTTCGAATCGCCGCGCCGCCTACGCCGAAATCAAAGTACGTTCGCGACGCCAGATCCGCCAGAGCCGACGAGTTTGCCGCAGCAGGGACTGGTGCCGCATAGTTGTTTGCCGACACGTCCATGGCGCCGAGCAAGGAGAGGTAGACGGCGGCGGCGATGGCAAGCGAGCCGATGAGTACGACAGCAGGAAGGCCGACACAGCCGAGCGAGTAACGTACCGCCTCATCGGTGCTCTCGAGCTTCTTCAGCTCTGGTCGGTGGCGGTACCAGCCGAGGCAGATGGCCACAAAGACGACCGAGACGAGGACGAGGAGCGAGAGGCCAAAAGCGAGAGCAAACGCCGGCTTGCCGACAGCGTAGGAGAGAAGAAGGGTAAAGCCCGATGTGATGAGAATGGTCAAAGTGATGGAGACCAGAGCCACCGAGCAAGGATCACTCGATCCACAGCATGAGATCTGTTCGTTCGATGTCATCCACGCAGGTGGTGGCGGCGGCGGCGGAGACAATGGCTCATCGGCGCTGTCCTGGCTGCTCGAGCCAGTCGTCGTCCTCTCGCTTGTCATGGACGACATGCTGGCGGACACACTCTCACTTGATGACATGATGTAGTGTGCTTGTGTGTGGTTGCGTGGGAGGAGGAGGGGGAGGGGGCGGTTGCGAGTGGCGTGTGTCGTGTTGCGTGGGTTTGGTCGGAGCTCGGGGGTTTTGCCAGGTGGGTGTTGCGCGGAGGTGGGGGGGGGGGGGGGGGGGGGGGGGGGCGTGGATGCTAGGGATCGGAATGTGGATTGGTGTAGGGATGCAGGACGCGGAGCTTGGGGCGGTAGTGGCGGCGATGGTGTTCAGAGATCAGGGATCAGGGTAGTGGAGACGGCAAGGAATAGGGGTAGGGCACGGGATGGGGATCGCAATATCGGCGGCGGCGGAATCGGCGCGATGGGCGCTTTACTTTCGCGCGATACCACCTTGTGGGCAAGGTTGACAAGAGCCTCACGGGCCGGTGAGTCAGGGAGGTTGCAGATGGCGGCGATGGCGTGCGAGGCGTGGTCGAGGGCAAGTGACTTGGTCTGCTCGAGGCCGTTGCTCTTCCAGACCAGCTCGCGGGCACGATAGGCGTCGCCTTCACCCTCGAACGAGCGCTCCATGAGCTCGTTGAGCTCGGGATAGGTGTGGGCGGCAAAGAGGACTGGGGCGGTGGCGAGGCCAAGCTTGAGATCGGCCGACGACGGCTTGCCCAGCGTCGAGTCGTTGCCAACAAAGTCGAGGTAGTCGTCGATGAGCTGGAAGGCGAGGCCGAGGTGGCGACCGTACTCAAAGGCGTGGCTCGCGGGCTCGCCGCGATGCCCGCCGAGGATGGCCGCGGCCTGTGACGAGTACGCAATGAGCGATGCGGTCTTCATGAACGTCTTCTGCATGTAGTTGTCAAAGTTGACCTCGGCCCGCGACGCGTTGTTGCGCGGCGGAGCGAGCTGCATGAACTCGCCCTCGACCAAGTTGGCGATGACTGTCGAGAGAAGCTCAATGACCTCGACGTTGCGGAGGCGTGCAAGTGCGAGCGAGGCGCGGGCGAGCAAAAAGTCGCCGCCAAGCACTGCCATCTTGTTGCCAAACACCCGGTTGACTGAGACAACCGCGCGGCGGGTGTCGGCGACGTCGATGACATCGTCGTGGACCAGCGACGCGGTGTGGATCATCTCGGTGATTTCGGCGAGCCGGCGCTGCTCCGGCAGGACGTATGCGTCGTCATCCGGCTCGGCGCCGTCGGCGGGCGGGAGCCGACGGGCTGCGTTGCCGGCGTCGGGCGCGTCGAGCGCCGCGTACGCCCGCGACATCAGCAGCACAATTGTGGGGCGGACCTTCTTGCCCTCGAGATCAAAGTAGTACTGCGCCACCTTGTGCAGGACGGGATGGTTGCTCTCGATCAGCTTCTTGATGTTTGAGGTGAGGAACTTGAGCTCGGGCCCGACAAGGCTGGTCGGATCCAAGCTCGACAGCCTTGCCGCAGCCTCCAGCTCGCGCGCCACATCTGGCGCCAGCCCGGACGAGTCGACCATCGACGACGACGATGATGCCGACGACGCCGCTCCGCCAGCCAGCATCGATGCCGTCAGTGAGGCCGACTTGATGGTGAGATTGGCGGCATGAGCGACTTCGCCCAGAACGTCCCGGATGACGGCAGCCGGGCCCTTGAGGCCACCCATCCGCGAACTCTTGCTTCCGTTGTCATCCGCTGACGATGCCATTCCCCGTGAACTCACTCCTCCAAACTTGCCGAACGTGCGCGTCATCGCTGACCTTCTGCCGGCTGTCACTGCTGCTGCTGCTGCTGCTGCCGCTGCCGCAGCCGACGCTTCAGCCGGTGCTGCCACCACTGCCCACCTCAGCATGATGGCTGGTTGATGGTGTGGAGGGGGATGGGGATTGCTTCACTCTCTGCTGTACTCAAACCGCTTGTGTCCACCGAGTCGTCTTGTCACAACTGGGTCGAGGGCGTTGAGTGTGGGCGGTGGTGGCGGGGTGTGAGCGGTGAGGGGGTGGGGCTGTGAGGCGGGCTGTTCTTCTTTGGTGGATGGGCTTCGACGGACGGCTGCGAGCAGCGCGTCACGGCAGGTTGGGATGTCGGCATACGAGTTTTGAGGGAGCAAGGACAGGCGGCAAGTTCATTGGGCAGCAGCATCCGGCCGGCGATCCATTACGAACGGCGCGGGCTCTTGGAGCGGCGGGAGGAGCGGCGCGGGCCGGCGGCTCGGGCGAGGCCGGGATGGCCGGGATGGGCTGGTTGAGGGCAAGGAGCGGCGGGAGCGAGGTGAGGGCGTTGGTAACAATGTCGGCGATGGTGGCAAGGGCGGCGGCGAGGTCGTCGACGTCCATGGCGGCGGAGACCGAGATGGTGAGTGCCGGCTGCGGGGTAAAGTACTCCTCCGAGTAGTTGAAGCGGGTGGCGGCGATGAGGATGCCGGCGTCGAGGGCGGCGGCAGCGACGGCAGACCAGACGTCCTCCTGGGCATTGCGGCCGTCATCCGAGGCCGTGGCCGAGTCAGGGACGTCAAGGACGAGGTGGAGGAACGGGACGCGGTGCGAGCCGAGGGCGACGGTGCCCGGCAGCGAGCGGAGGCGCGACGAGTGAAGGACCGAGACACGGTCGGCGAGGGCGTCGAGGAACGGGGCCGGCGAGTCGGCGACGAGGTCGAGGGCGGTGTTGGCGGCCGACGAGAGCATGGGCGGCGCCGAGGCCGAGAAGCAGTAGCCCGAGCCGGAGAGGCGCTGGTGGTCGACAACGACCGACGAGCCGGCACAGATGCCACCGACGGCGGCAAACGAGTTGGAGAGCGAGGCGGTGAGGAAGAGGAGCTCGTCGATGTCCACGCCAAAGTGCTCGGTCACGCCCTTGCCCGAGGCGCCGAGAACGCCGAGCGAGTGCGACTCCTCGACAACGAGGCGGAAACGGAACTTGTTCTTGAGCTCGACAATGCGCGGCAGGTCGCAGATGGTACCGGTGTTGGCGAACACGCCCTCGGTGACCACAAACCGCCGGTTGAGCTTGCCGCCACGCTCGTCAGCAGCGGCCACGTACTCGGAGAGCACTCGCTCGAGATCGTCCATGTCATTGTGCTCGTACCACAGGATCTTGGATCGCGAGAGGCGGAGGCCGGTCTGGACCGGGAACGACACGGCCTTGTCGGCCACAATGACGTCGCCGCGCTTGGCAAAGGCCGGGATGGCAGAGGCGATGGTGGAGAAACCGTACGAGTAGAGGATCGACTCCTCAACGCCGAGCCAGCGCGCAAAGGCCTCCTCAAGGTGAACGTGCGGGTTGACCGAGCCGTAGAAGCCACGCGGGCCACACGAGCCACAGCCATACTCCTTGAGGGTAAGGAGGGCAGCCTGGATGCAATCCCTGTTGCCCGAGAGACCGAGATAGTTCCCCGAGCCAAGGTTGAGCACACCGTCCTTGCCCTCGATGGTGACATGAACACCACCAGGCTCAACACGATCGATGACAGGACCCATCTCCATAGCCTTCTGACGATCGTCCAGCACAGGCACCAGCGGCTCAGGCGTCCACTCTTCCACCAGTTCATCGATTTCCGTCCTGCTCAGCTTGGTCGGCTTGCTACTGGGCCGGAACGACGATCCGAGCATGAGGTACACCACCCAGAGTGCCAGTGCTGCTTCCACAGCCTATATACGCAGTGTATGTTCATGAGTGGAGGTGCATGGATTGGGTAGGATGGGTGTGGGGAGGGGGGGGGTCGGCGGGGTGGTGGCGGTGGTGGTGGTGGTGGGATGCGGCGCCAAATGCCACGTCGACGAGGTGTGGAGGGGGGGGGGGGGGGGGGGGGAGGGGCAGGGGAGAGGGAGAGGGGACATACCACATGGTAGGGGTCATTCTGGTACATGTACACAGTAAACTCGATGGCGACGTTGTACAGGTGCTGCGCGAGGTGAATGGCGTCGTCAATCATGGTGGTTGGTGGGAGGGAATGGGGGGAGGGGGAGGTGGTTGGTTGGTGGCGGTGGCGTGAAGTGTGGTTGGCGCGGGTGGTGGATGGCATCAGCAGAGGAAAGTGAGACGGGCACGGTCACCGTGCAACCGGGGTGCAGCAGTTGGCAGGCGATGGGGAATTGCCAGGCGGTTTACTCGGGTGCGGCCACGGTTGCGGCGTTACGATGGAGGCCGGCCTCGCGAAAGGCAGCAATGACCGAGTTCCAGTCCTCCGAGGCGGATGTCCAGCCGCGGCCTGGGGAGAGGACCATGTACACGGTGCCGGGGATGTTGAGGCGCTTGTCAACGATGGTGATGGCGCAGCGGGCGCCCGAGACGACGACGTCCTGCGGCGGGAAGACCATTTCGGCCAAGGCCGGGATGCCGAGGGCATGCAGGGTCTGGAACAGATACTTTGTGTTCTGGCCCGAGGCCTTGTAGCGGTAAAAGGTGGCCTTGTCGTCCTCCTCCAACGCGCGGCGCCAGATGCGGTAGCACTCGACGGGGTCGTCCGGAAAGGCCGGGACGTGGCATACGCCCGACAGGGCCTCGCGCCACGCCTCGAGCTCGGAGCGGTCCTTCGAGTACATGAGATAGGTGCGTTCGGGCGTGCCGACCTCGACGCAAGTCTCCTTCCGCTCCTCGGTGTTGAGCTCGACGTACATGATATCCGAAACGAGGATAGTGCCCTTGAGCTTGCTTGCGCCCGAGTCGGCAAAGTACCGTAGCGTCCGTGAGTTGAGCACAAACCACCGCTTGCGCCAGTTCTTCCACTTGGCGCCCTTCTTGATCAGCTGGCCCTCGCGGATGACCTCGAGGCCCGAGCCGTCGCCGCCATTGTCTGCTGTGGCCACTGCAGCCGGCGCCGACGCCGACGCCGACGCCGACGCCTCGCCGTCATCATCTTCATCATCGTCCGACTCGGAGCCGTTTGCAGCTGCGGCACCCTGTGGTGCATCTGCGTCGGGCGAGTCTCCTACCTCGACTTCAGCAGTGGCCTTGGTAGAGGGATCGGCCTCAGCGTCAGCCGAAATCTCATCATCAGCCTGGTTTCCAGCAATGTGTTCGGCATCTGGGTCGGCCTCGGCCCCTGTTTCGGCCTCTGTTCCGGCCTCTGTTACGGCCTCTGCTTCCGGTTCCACCTCGGACTCTGCCACTGCCACCTCCGCCTCATCCTCGACCTCGACCTCAGCCTCAGCCTCGACCTCGGCCCTGTTTCGGCCTCTGTTCCGGCCTCTTTCTCGGCCTCTGCTTCCGGTTCCACCTCGGACTCTGCCACTGCCACCTCAGCCTCAGCCTCGACCTCGGCCTCAGCCTCGACCTCGGCCTCAGCCTCAGCCTCGGCCTCAGCCTCGACCTCGGCCTCGGCCTCGGCCTCGACTTCAGCCTCAGCCTCGACTTCAGCCTCAGCCTCGACTTCAGCCTCAGCCTCGACTTCAGCCTCAGCCTCGACTTCAGCCTCAGCCTCAGCCTCGGCCTCAGCCTCGCTCTCCATGTCCTCGACAAGCTGGCCAACGACCTCGTCCAGGGCATCCCACTCGGCCTCGTCGGAGCCGGCCTGGGGCACCTGTGTGGAGAGTCCAGCAGGTTCGGTGCCCCTGCCAGGCCCGCTCTCCTCGCACGAGCTCATGCTGTGGCCCTTGGCGCGCGTCGAGTGTGCCACGCCGCGTGACCCGTCGACGACGGCGAGCGCCGTGTTCGCCAGGCATGCGGGCGCTGATTTTTTTTCAGTTGGCACTCGGAATGGATTTCAGATGTCATTGCTAGTGGGGTAAGTGGGGAAAGGCATGCACCGATCACAGCCCATAAGGAAGCGACCGGTGTCTGCTTTGCTTTTCAACATGTGCACAGAAGAGATGGTGGTGCACGGAGGGCAGGAGGGTCGTAATAGGAGCAAAAAGAAAAATTGGAAAGTGAACGTCGCAGGTAATTTCGATGTAAAAGTCAGATAAAAGAGCGAAACGTCCGAAGCCAATCGATTACTTCTGTCATGTGTTGATGGATATGAATGTCACAGTCTACTCCGGGAATCGAACTTGACCTCTCACCAGCACCTGCACCTGCGCGCCGGGAATACGGTCGTCTTGCACTCGTCGCAGCGCCCCATGACATCAGAGACGCCCCCGTGGACAGAGTTTGCCACTGGCGAGGTGGTTGTCGAGGACGACACTTCCAGAGCGTTTTCTATCTTCCCAGCAACGCTCCGGTCGACGGGGGAGGCGGTGGCTGCGACAGGTTGGCTCGAGGCCGACGACGACGATCTAGCTGTCCTCATCCACCAGGTTCAGGCGTACGGTGTCGTGCATGGCATCTTGAGTGGCATCGGCTTGGTTCGCAACAGCGCTGGTCTTGTGCGGATTGTGCTTGAAGCGCCTGCGGGTGGATGGCTGGCGGATCGCATGCGGCGGCGGCGGGGTGGCAGTGACGGCGCGGGCGATGATGCGGCACCGGTGCGGAGCGAAACGCAGATCATTGGGGACTCGAGCGACTCGAGCGATGATGATGGCTATGGGTTTGCACCGCTGCTGATCGGGGACGCCGCGTGGGTGGTGCGCGAGGTGGCAGGGACGCTGAAGATGATGCTCGAGGCCGACCAGGCTGTGCCAGGCATCTCAATGGAGATGATCGGGTTCTCGGCTGATGGCGAGGTGAGGCTGCAGAACCCGGGTGCAATGTTGGCGACTCGAAAGTGGTATGCTGGCGGAAGCAGCAGTATGATGCTCTCTGACACTGGGCTGCTCCCACACTATCTATGCCCTGAGACGCTCACCATGACGAGCATTGCGCCACCCGAACAAGCGCCGTGGAGCCTCGGGATCCTAGTGTACGAGCTATTGGTCGGCGAGCCACCCATGGCTGACACACACTTAATGCGTGCTCTGTTTGTCATTCCGTCGCGAGGGCTGGATCTCGGTGCGGTGGACATCGCAGCCGAAGCCCTGGATCTTGTGGGCGCAGTCTGCGCACTGGAGCGCGAAGCGCGGCTGGGCGTGTCGGGTAGAACCATCGCGCTTGATGACGTGCTTGCACATCCGTTCTTTGGAGCAGCATCAGCAGGCCTTGGCAGTCCTGGTGATGCAGAGTGGGTGCCGAAGGACGAAGAGCCGTCGCCGCTGGACGATATGTAGGGCTTGGTTGCCGCTGGACGATCTGTAGGGCTTGGTCGCCGCTAAACGATCTGTAGGGCTTGGACGTATTTACGATCCGCCGGGCAGCATGAGGAGGAGGACGACCGGGAGGATGTAGTACCAGTAGCGGAGGAACCACGGACGGTTATCAACCGAAGCCTCGGCTTCGGCGGCGGCCTGCAGCTCCTGGACGGAGGGAACGGCGGCGTGTGTGGCGAGCTTGCCCGAGTCAAAGACGACCTCCGACTTGAGCGAGATGGCCTTGGCGAGGCGGACCTTGCCGGGCTCACACACCGGGTTCCGCAAAATGTACGACAGTGCGACAACGTCTCCATCGTCGTCCAGGTGAACCGCGAGCCGCTCGCGGAAGCGTGAGCTTGCCAGCGAGCAGGCCGGGATGGCAACCATGGCCTTGCCGACCCGGACCAGATAGCGAGCATCAGCCTTGACGAGGGCGTTAAAGGCGATCACATCGTGGTCGGTCAGCTCGACGACGTCCTTGCTGACGCGACCGGCAGCACGACGAGTTCCGTGGGAGATGATCTGCCTCGGTTTCCAGCTCTTTCCGCCGTCGTACGAGACCTCGACCACCAGCTCAGCACTCGAGGCGCCGGCCTTTCCGGCGGCTGAGCTTCCAGCAGTGCCCGGAGCACTCTTCCGAGCATTCTGGCCAGCCTTTGCCGCCCGCGGCGCGCGCTTGGCCTGGACCTTGGGCTTGGCGGGAGAGGGAGCGGAGGTCGGAGAGGGGGGGGACGGCTTGCCTGACGGAGGCCGCTTCTTGGCCTTGCCCACCAGGTCAAAGGCCGTGGTCGAGGTGATGGCAAGGAGGAGGAGGACGACAAGGCACCCGGTGACGAGGTGCGTGGTGCGCATAGCTCGCAGAGGAACACGTGTGTGGGGGTGTGGGGTGGGGGTGTGGGGTGGAGGGGCGTGAGAGAGGTGAGAGGAGGTGGACGGAGAGGGCTTGGCGGAGCGAGTGGGTGGGATCATGGCAGGGGGTGAGGGACATACTGATGGAGAGTTTCGTGGCTTGTGCGATCGAGACGGAGGCTGTAGCCCGGGAAAGTGCGGGCGATGGCAGAGGGAAGAAGGTTGGAGCACGCGGGATGAGGGCTTGATCAGCCAAAGAGCTTGATGGAGCACGGGGTGCAGTAAGGCTTCTCGTTGTGAGCCTTGAAAGTCTGCGAGCCGCCCGAGCCGAGGTTCTTCATGCAGAACGCGCAGACAAAGTGCTCCGGGTGGAAGCGTTTGCCGATGGCGGTGAGCGAGCGGCCGACGATGGGCTTTTGGCAGGCAGCGCAAAGCGAGCCGTTCTTGGCGTGGTAGCAGATCTCGCAGTACGGCAGCGACTCGACCTCAAAGAACGAGCCGCCCTCAAAACCCTTGGTGCAGCCGGTGCAGACAAAGCAGTCAGGGTGCCACTGCTGACCGAGGGCGGTGAGGCAGTCGCCGAGGATGGGGTTGCCGCACTTGGGCGAGGCGCACTTTGAGGCAAAGAGGCCAAAGTAGTCTTCCTCGCAGTAGGGGCGGCCGCCGTGCTCGTAGAAGCCGGCCTGCCCGCCGTCGGGCCCGCCAAATCCGCGGCCACAGTGCGCACAGAAGAAGTGGTCCTCGTGCCAGGTCTTGCCCAGCGCGTTGATGCACTTGTCCAGAATGGGTCCGTTGCAGTAGGCGCAGCGTGGCGAGAAGAGCTCGTGGAAGTGCCGCTCGCAGTACGGCTTGTTGTCGCGCTCAAAGAACGAGGTAGAGCCGAGCGGGACCTTGCACGAGAAGCAGGCAAAGTGCTCGGCGTGCCAGACTTGCCCGAGCGCGGTGACAACCTGCCCAATGATCGGCTTCATGCACCCGGCGCACGTGCCGCGGTAGTCTGAGCTGACGCCCATCCGGTCCATGTCCGACGTCAGGTTGGAGAGGATGTTGTCCAGGTTCTTGCCGCCGGCCGGCGCCGCCTGTGCGGGCGCGGCGCCCGACAGTGCGCGCATGACCGCGTCGAGATCCGACGCGCCCGCAAGGTTCGGGTCGACCATCGGCTGCGCCTGGCTGCTCGGCGGCGGAGCCGCACCGCCGCCGGCCGCCGGCTGGGCGCCGCCGAGGTCGGCCATGAGCGAGTCAAGGTCTGACATGCCTGACGCCGGCGCCGCTGAAGGCGCAGGCTGAGCAGCAGGCGCCGGCTGGGCGCCACCGAGGTCGGCCATGAGCGAGTCGAGATCGTCAAGCCCACCGGTGCTTGCGGGCTGGGCCGCAGGCGCCGCCGCAGGCTGAGCAGCAGGCGCCGGCTGGGCGCCACCGAGGTCGGCCATGAGCGAGTCGAGATCGTCAAGCCCACCGGTGCTTGCGGGCTGGGCCGCAGGCGCCGCCGCAGGCTGAGCAGCAGGCGCCGGCTGGGCGCCACCGAGGTCGGCCATGAGCGAGTCGAGATCGTCGAGCCCACCGCCGCTGCTGGCGGGCTGGGCCGCAGGCGCCGCCGCAGGCTGAGCAGCAGGCGCCGGCTGGGCGCCACCGAGGTCGGCCATGAGCGAGTCGAGATCGTCGAGCCCACCGCCGCTGCTTGCAGGCTGGGCCGCCGGAGCAGGAGCGCCACCGCCGCCACCACCGCCGAGGTCGGCCATGAGGGCATCGAGATCGTCGAGGCCGCCATCAGCAGCAGGCGCAGGCGCAGCAGCAGGCGCAGGTGCAGGTGCACCACCACCAAGGTCGGCAAGGAGCGAATCTGAAAGCAGGCGGATGTTATGGGTGAGGAGGAGTGGGAAGGACGGAGCAAGGAAGGTCGCCGAGTGGCCAACACCAATTCAGGGGAATCACCCCATGAGAGCAGCCGGGGAGCATGTGTGGGGCTAACGAGGCATTATAGCCACGTCAGTCACATTCAAGAACATGCCGGCATAGATGGGATCATGTACAGTGTACAGAGGTGGATGGGGGGGGGGGAGGTGTGGGACGGGGAACGCAAGGGGGTAGGGGGGGTTGGGAAGGGGTGGGCGGTTGGCGGCAAAAAAAGGGCTTCAGGTGACGCCAAGCGACAGCACGCGCTGCACGGCCAAGGGAAAGGGGTGTGTGTGTGTGGGGGAGGGGGGAGGAGGGAGTGGGTGACACGAGTATGAGGGAGGAGCGTACCCAGGTCGTCAACAGACATGTTCGACCGAGTTGGAGAGAAGGAATTGATGTGGTGTGTCTGTCAGGAGGGAGTGGAGGGGGGT